ACACTTGTGCAAAATGCCATACATACAAAACTTCATTACAGCATTGTTTATATAGCACAATTTAGGAAACAATCTGAAAGTTATGAATAAGCAATTAGTTACAATAAAGTCTAGGCCAGGCACAGCGGTTCATGCCTGTAACCCTAGCACTTTGGGAGGCCAAGGTGGAAGAATCACTTAAGCCTAGGAGCTCAGGAACAGCTTAGGCAACATGAAAAGACCCCATCTCTATTGAAAAAGTATTAAATTTCCAAAATTAAAAAAAAAAATTAAAAAAAAAGTCCACCCGCAAGGTTCCATTAAACAGTCCTTTGAAAAAATAATAAAAATGAGCCAAAGCAGGACACTATGGTGCATGCCTGTAATCCCAGATACTGGAGGCTGAAGGTAGAGGATCACCTGATATCAGGAATTTGAGGCTGTATGTATACAGTTTATGATAACACCTGTGAAAAGCCACTGCACTCCAGCCTGGGCAACCAAGTGACAATCTGTCTCTTAAAAAGAAAAGAAAAAAAAAAAGAGTCAACTTGAAGATACACAGGTGGTTAGAGGGGAAGAGAAGGGAATCAAGGTATTTGCATGAGAAGAAGCCTAACTTACAGCAGAAAGTTGCTCTGGTCTTTTTGTAAGGATACACAATAAAAATAGCGGTTGAGGTCAGGTGCAGTGGCTCGCACCTGTAATCCCAGCACTTTGGGAGGCTGAGGCAGGTGGATCACTTGAGGAGAAGAGTTTGAGACCAGCATGGGCAACATGGTGAAACCCCATCTCTACTAAAAATTAGCCAGGCGTGGTGGCACGTGCCTGTAGTCCCAGCTACTTAGGAGACTGAGGCAGGTGAATCACTTGAACCTGGAAGGTGGAGTTTGCAGTGAGCCAAGATTGTACCACTGCACTCCAGCCTGGGCAACACGGGGAGACTCCATCTCAAAAAACAAACAAAAACAGTGGTTGTCTAACCAGGAGAACTGGAATGCTGAAGGACAGATGAGGGATTCTCTATGTATCCTTCAGAGCCTTTCAAATATGCTCTATGTGCGTTTCCTAGTTAATAACAAAAAATACATAAGCAGAGTAGACTCACAAAAAAGAAATAATGTAAAAGACTCATATGTCTTGTTTTTAAATGAGCTTATGGCTGGAAAATGAGACTAGCTTTAATTTTTAGCTCAGACATTGGTTCAGATAGAATATACTAAGCAGTAACAATGTCAAATTATTGCTCATTGAGATTAAGGCTCATCTATTCAGTTAGTCTATCAATATTTCAGTATCTACTATGCGCCAAGGATTGGTCTAGGCATGAATGAGCAATATGTGGGACATCCAAGAGTCCCTAACTTCATGAAGGTTTAATGGGGAATAGAGAGAAATAAACAGTAAATAACATAACTTTGAACAGTAATAAGCACTTATACAGAAGAAAGGGAGACAGGAGGATAAAATTGCGGGGGAAGGAAAAGGAAAACTGGTTTATACGGGACAGGTTAGGTAGAGGGTATGACATATGAGCTAAGAACGGAACAAGTGGACAAAGCAAGCAATGCAACAAACAGGAGGAAAGTCCCGTGACTGGAATAAGCTCAACCATTTATTGTTCAGGGTACACCAAAGCAACAGTGTGACTACAGTGGAGTGACCCAAGGAGAGAAGCGCAGATGCACTCAGAAGTAGGCAGATCCCAGATGAATGTATGGCCTTATAGCTAATGGAGGGAAAGGGCAAGATTCTACTGTGTGATGGAGAACCTCTACAAAGTTTTTAGCAGGGGAGTAACATGGTCTATATTTTAAGAAGATAACACTGTTGCTCCAAATTAGGCTAATACAGCAGGCCAGGCAGTAAGTGATGGAAGTGAACAGAGGTTTGAAAGAGACGGAGGGAAAAGTGTCTGATTTAGTATATATATTGAAAGCAGAACCCACAGAATTTGCTACTGGATTAGACACAGGAATCTAAATGAGATAGTAACTCGGTGAATAGTAGTCCAGAAAATCATCTTGTATTTGTAGAGTTAGTCATTTTACAGTAACAAGAGACAGGGGAATGTGACACTAATCAAGATCCAAATTCTGCCTCTTACCAGCTTTACCTTAGGAAAGTCATTTAAGTCAGTTTCTAGACTGCAAAATATATTCACAAAAATGTCTGTAAGAATCAAATGGTTAAGAAATCTACAAATGTAAATAATGATCATTATAAGTTAGAAAGAATCATATTAACAGTCATGCAAATCAAACCATCTTATTTTAATATTTTCATTAGATGAGAATGGTAACACTGATGTTATAATCAACACTAAATTTCATCCTTTTTGAAAGTCAAAGGTCAGGCGGGGCAAAGTGGCTCATGCCTGTGATCCCAGCACGTTGGGAGGCTGAGGTGGGTGGATTGTTCGAGGTCGAGAGTTTGAGATCAGCCTGGGCAACATGGCGAAACCTCGTCTCTACGAAAATTAGCTGGGTGTGGTGGCATGCATCTTGCAGTCCCAGCTATTCAAGAAGCTTAACTGGGAGGATCATCTAAGACCAGGAGATCAAGGCTGTGGTGAGCCAAGATCCTGCCACTGCACTGCAGCCTGGGAGCGGAGTGAGATGAGTCTCAAAAAAAGAGAAGAGAAAAGACAAGAGAAAAGAAAAGAGAAAAGAGAAAAGAAAAGAAAGTCAAAGATCACCCAGAAATAAAACAAATTAACAGTTCAATCAACAAAGTCATGTCCCTATTGCCTCAGGACAATACTGCTACCCCCATCCACCACATAGAACTTTGTATAGTGATTGACAGAAAACAGGCAACTTTTAAAAATAAATTCTGATTTTTTTTAAAGCATTGTCACTGATTATGGAACAACCTACGTAACACAAGCATGGACACTTTTGAAAATCTAGTATTTTAGTCTTCCGTAAGGATTGGAGAAAACCATCCTGTTAAGCTATAAATGACATTAAACTAATAAGATAAAACCCAAATCAAGGTACCATTCATTAGATAGATGTTCTCAACAAGATACCGTAAAATTAAGATTATATATCACAGTATGAGTTACTACTGTCTTATTTTGAACAGCAAAATGTAAATGCCCAGTACAAATTAAATTACTGTGTGCCAAATGAATTGAATCATGAGGACTTCATCTTATTGCCTTAAACCATTTCTGTAAGTTTATAAACAAGGTTCCACAGAATTTATTTTTTCATCCAAGGCTTTCATATTACCGGGCATATCTTCATAATCAAAAATAGAAAAATGCATGTTAAATGTTTAGTTCACTATGTATTTAGAGAATTATCATGAATGTCAACTTCCATTATGTACTTAGTCAATCAGCTAAGTAACAACAAAAACAAGGATATTTGGTAAATGGCTCTATCACTCCCTATTCATTTTTCAACTGGGGCCTCAATGAACATGATCTTTGGGGACCATGTGACTGCATTATAACTAAAACCACATTGTAAGGACCTGCCAATACATATGACAATTAAAACTCCTTGGACAGAACCCTAGATAAATCCACACACAACAAATTTCGGACTATGAAGGTTCACATTATTAGACTCCAAGGCTCCCTGACAATGTTATACTTCTCTCATTTCTAATAATTTCTACCATACGAAAATATCTTATTTCTCTGCTTCAAGCACCCTTAGGTCAGTGACATGACCCTCATCTCAGATATATTTAAATGCAATTGGATGAAGCAGTATACAGTACATCATCCAATTGAAAGTCTTCCACTTAGTACGCACCTCCTCATAGATTTTACAAGAATGAACAAGATTAACATACACGTTCACCAGGTTATATCAAGCAAAATGATGCTGCAATTGAGTTACTTTAACTGGCGCATTTAGCCACATAAATGTTCAACTAATTTCCTTCATAAAAACTGACACAAAAATTTAAGGTGTAGTTGTTGTGGATGACAAGGAATATCTCACATCGGAAGACTTGTTGGTATTTGGTGAAAACTTTACAAAATCAAAGAATCGAAAATGTCATGGTTCCGTATATACTTGTCAAAGCACAGTATTCATAAATAGCCAATTAATAATTAAAGCACACAAAATTGAGAGGCAAAAGATTTCACGAGATTCCCCCATAGAGGCCAAGGTAGGAAGATCTCTGAAGCCAGGAGTTTTGAGATCCGCCTGGGCACTATAGCGAGGCCTCATGTGTACGAAAAAGAGAGGAGGGGAGAGAAGAGAGGAGAGAATCCCCCATAACTGCGGCCCTCCCCAACCCTTGTGTTAAAACTATTTCCTCGGAACAGCTCTGAAAGAGTTTGCCAACCAGAGTAAAATCACTTCGCAGAGATAAACGAGCGGAAACGTATTTAGAAGAGAGAGACCGCGGAAGGAAGGGCAGCGGGGCGCGGACCCGTCCCCGGACTCAGACAGCCGCGGCAACCAGGGGCGAGCATGTGCTGACCGCGGCAATACGCGCGGGCCTCCCAGAGCCACTTCCCGGGGCGCACGGCCCCGCCCGGCCTGACCCTCCGGGTTCATTCATTCTGTACCCGCGGCTGCCGCACCTCCGCGCCCCGGTCGGGGCCGAGAAGAAGGGCTCGGCTGCCGAGGGACCTTGTCAGGCTACAACCCCCGCCAGGAGTCCGAGCCCCGCCGCGATTCCCGCGCGCCCGCGGCCTCCAGCGGGGGGGTGGTCTCAGAAGCTACGGAGGCCAGCGCCCAAGCCCAGAGACCCGCAACCTTGCCGCCCCACCCTCCGCCGGGGCGCCGGCCAGGACTCCCTAGCCCGACGGGCGCGCCTGGAAGCCCCGGGTCCCCGCTGTCCCGCTGCCCCGCCGCGGCCGGAAGTCTCCCCGGCGCCCCCTCCCCAGCACCCGACTTCCCTCGCCGCCGCGGCCAAGCCCTCTCCGCGCCGCCTCGGGCCTCCCAGCGCGGGCCGCGGGCCGAAGGCAGCGAGAGACCGCGCTGCCTGCCCAGCTGAGCCGAAGAGAGTCCAGCGAAGAGCTGGAGGCTGGCCTGGGCGGTTACCTTGATGATCCTGCGGGGCAGCCCGGCCATCTTGTCAGAACCCGAGTTCGGCCTCTGGTCTCGTCTCCGGCTCCGCTCGCCTCACGCACGAGTGGAAGTCCCAGGCTCCACTTCCGGGGGACGTTGCCGCGCCCGTCGCCGCAGCCGCCGCCTAGGCCCCTCGGGAAATGTAGTCCCTGCTCAGGCGCGGGCTCGGGCACGGGCGGGCTTCCCTCCGACCTGGCCCCCTCCCCCGCGCGCCCCGCCCCAACCCCGGCCGGGGATGGCGGAAGTGACGCTCCGCGGCGGGGCAGGGACTTTGGAGACGCCTCGCGGGGAGGCGCGGGGCTCCGGCGGTCGTGGCCGAGCCTGCCCGCGACGGTGGTAGCGCGCGATTCGCGCGCGCGCTCTCTTAACCGTGGCCACGCCCGCTCCGGTGGACGACGTAACAGAGGCCTGGCCTACGACGTAGCCCATTCATTCATTCACGCGTTCGTTCATTCAGTTCAGCCTGCATTGCGCGCGTTCCCTGCTGGCTCTGCAGTGAACGACTGCGGTGGGGCTGATCGTCTTGCTCCTTCCTCAAAGGGAGGGCAAGACCGAAACTCAGTGGCAAAGCTCTGACTGGGGGTCTCTCCAGTTACTCCCACCCTGTTGGGGAGTTTTGATGTTTAAATTGTATAAATCGGGCCTCTGACACGCCCCGTAGGCCCAGGGTGGACTGAAGGAAAAGGGTTTGGAGCCAGCTGGAGGCGGTAAGACCTAGACCTAACGGTTGAGACTCAGAATCGTTAACAGAAAGAATGACCAAGGAGAGGTTTAAAGAACCCAGAGTAATCCGTAAACCAGAGATTACCCAGAGTGCGAGGTCCTATGAGAGAATTAGAATGGGGGTGCCCGAAAATTGAATTGTTGGGGAAGCATTTTATCCTGATGACGGATGGCTTGCTGTGTGATGGACTGTTTGCAAGCATTTTACTTCACCTTCACAGCAATAGTATAGAGGAGGGAGGTGTTGTTTCCATTTTACAAATGAGGCTTAGAGAGTTAACTTTTTCCAAGGAGCTGTTTTGTCCCCAGGCAGATCTGCCAAGACCTGGCCCTTAACTACTTAACCACAGTGTTTCCTAGCACACTGACAGTAGATGGTGAATAAATGAAGACAGGACTGACCATGCCTTCCAGGAACTTAGATTCCAATGGAGAAGAGAGACCAGTAAACAATTAGTTACAATCCAACGTGTTAAGGGCTGTAGTAGAGGTTCCTCCCAGGTGCTGTTTTAGCAGAGGCATTAACTGCTTGAGAACTCAGGGAAGCCTTCTTAAATAAGTGGAGTCCTAAATGATGAGTAAGAACCTATCTGACCTTGTAGGGAAGAGTATGCCAAGCATAGGAAATGGCCTGTGAAATGGCATTGAGCTATGAGAAAGAAAAAATAGTGCACTAAAGAAACTGGAACTCTGAATACAAGAAACCAACTAAGAACAATGAGAAATATTTTGTGCTGGCGCTATGCTAAATGATTACATAAATTTAATACATCATTTAATTATAAAACAGATGAGGTAGGCTCTATTATTAACAGAAAGTTTTAGATGAGAAGCCAAGGTTCAGAGGTAATAATGAGGATTTCAAATAACCCAAAGTCTGCAATAGGTGGTTCTGTGACTAGAAGAATCTTCAAAAGTAAATGAAACTGGACAAAGATACTTTTCAGAATATTTTATAGAGGACCCAGGATAATTCATGCTGGTAGGCAGAAAGGCAGAATGCTATTGTGTTGGGAGTGTGTAGGTCTGCAGTCTGGGCAGGGCTTGGCAGGAAGGGGCACTCTGCTTGTGCTGCATCATTCTGTGCAACCAGAAGATTGGCTTCCATGATGGTTCACAAGGCCGGCAAGTTGGTGCTGGCTGTTAGTTTCACTCCAAGTGGGCCTCTCCCCGGGGCATCTTGGGCTTCCCCATTGCATGGTGGCTGGGCTCCAAGAGTAAGTGTTCAAGCTAAAATGGGCACTAAATCTCATTTTTTGACCCAGCCATGGAAATCACATGGTCTCGTGGAAGTCACATGGCATCACCATAACCATAATCCATCAGTCAGCCAGCCACAAACCGCCCCTGTCTCAAGGGCAGGGGACATGGGCACCACCTCTTGAAAGGGGAGCTGCAAGAGTCTAGAAACTAGCAGCATATATGTGATGGAAAGTATGGTTGTGGCCAACTTCGGAAAGAAACTGCCACTCATAGCCGCCTTGGAATCACCTAGGTCACTGTTTTTTGTTTTTGTTTTTTAAAAAGCATTCCTGCAGCTGGAGCCCTTCTCCCAGGGATTCTAATTCTCTAGGTCAGTGCTGAGACCTGGGAATCTGCATTTAAACATCAGGGGTAATTTTGATAGATACTAACACTTAACGGCAAAAAATTCTGAACAAACGAGAACAAAAAACGATAAGCAAAGCAAAAAAAATTTTTTGAGACAGAGTCTCTCACTCTGTCAACCAGGCAGGAGTGCAGTGACATGATCTTGGCTCACTGCAACCTCTCCCTCCAAGGTTCAAGCGGTTCTTTTGCCTCAGCCTCCAGAGTAGCTGAGATTACAGGTGTGTGCCATCGCCCCCCCGCTAATTTTTGTATTTTTAGTAGAAACATGTTGGCTGAGCTGGTCTCGAATTCCTGGCCTCAAGTGATCCGCCTGCCTTGGCCTCCCAAAATTCTGGGATTACAGGTGTGAGCCACTCCACCCGGCCTCCTTTTGTCTATTTTCTATCAGAACAGACAATAAGTATCATTCAGGTGAAGAGTGAGAGCTCTGGAGCCCCCAGTCCAGGTTTGAAAACACACTTTGCTTAATTTCTCTGTCCTTCGTTTTCTTCACCTATTAAATATACTTACCTTCATGTGGTTGTTGTGAAGTTTAAATTATGTAATTTGTATACGGTACTTAGAACAGTACACAGCACTTAGCAATCACTTATTTTTTTGTAATTTGATAGAACCATGTACATTTTTCTTTAGGAAACCATATTTTTAAAACTTGATAGTATAACCTTGTTTGGTAGAGATTGGATTGTTGGCATAAATCCATCTGAGAGTATTAACACTTTAACATACACATTTTTCCTGTCTCTCCGAATTGTTTTTTCTGTTCTTTTCCCTCTTGAGGACAGCTCACACTATACTCATCTGGAAACGAAAATCTGAACTTCTGATTCATATAAAGCCTGTGGAACAGGATACATTCTAGAAGAGCAGGTTGTCTAGAAGGCTAGTTAAGAATCCTATTTCTATATCTAATATAGAGATAGATAACAAAACAGTGGTTACCCAGAGCAGGTTGTGGGGTGGAGTAATGGAGAATCAGAGATGTAGATCAAAGGATACAAAGTAGCAGATATTTAGGACAGTCTAGAGAGCTAATATACATGAGAGCTATAGGTAGTAAGTTTACACTATGTACGAGATTCATGCTAAATAAGTAGATTTTAGCTACTGTTGTCACAAAAACAAAAACATAGGTAACTATGTGAGATGATGGATATATTAATTTACTTCACAATAGTAACCTGTTTACTATTGATACATGACGTATTCCCTAACATCATGTTGTATACCTTCAATATACACAATAAAATAATTTTGTTTGGCCAGGTGCAGTAGCTCACCCCTATAATTCCAGCACTTTGGGAGGCTGAGGCAGGTGGATCACTCGAGGTCAGGAGTTCGAGACCAGCCTGACCAACACGGTGAAACCCTGTCTCTATTAAAAATACAAAATTAGCTGGGTGTGGTGGAGCATGCCTCTAATCTCAGCTACTTCGGAGACTGAGACAGGAGAATCACTTGAACCCGGGAGGCAGAGTTTGCAGTGAGCCGAGATGGCACCATTGCACTCTAGCCTGGACAACAAGAGCTAAACTCTGTCTCAAAATAAATAAATAAATTAATTAATTAATTAAATTTTTTTTGAGGCAGGGTCTCACTTGTTGCCCAGGCTGGAGTGCAATGGTACAAACATGGCTTGCTGCAGCCTCAGCCTCAACCTCCTGGGCTCAAGTGGGCCTCAGCCTCCCAAGAAGCTGGGACTACAGATGCACACCACCACGCCCGGCTAATTTTTAAATTTTTTTAGAAACAGGGTTTCACCATGTTGCCTAGAATGGTCTCGAACTCCTGGGCTTAAGCAACCCCTCCTACCTCAGCCTTCTGAAGTGCTGGATTACAGGTGTGAGCCACCATTCCTGGCCAAAACTTATTTGTAAAAATCCTACTTACTATACCCATAAAATATGGATAAAATAAGATATCTAAAAAACTAACTGATCATGTACCTCATAAATACATATACTTACTATGTACCCGCAAGACTTTTTTTAAAAAAACTAATTGGATTCCTTCAGAGGTGGGATATTTAGCAGCTAGAGAACAAATGTAAAACGGAGGCTTTTTACTGTGTACTCTTATACCATTTGAATTATGAACCATGTGAATATTTTACCTATTCAAAATGTGAAATATGTATTCAGTTCACTAATTTCAATAGATTGCTCAAGAGGTATTGAAAGCTGTAACAGTGCTGAGCAGGAATTATATAATACACTCAAAACTCAGCAAAAAGATGCTGGTCCAGGTCCATGGTACTGAATAAATGATGACAGTGGCAGATAGCTTCACTAAGCTGAGCAGTGCTAGCCATATCTCTTTTTTTTAATTTTTTTTTTTTTTTTAAGAGACAGGGTCTCACTCTGTTGCCCCAGATTGGAGTGAAGTGGCGCAGTCATAATTCATTGTAATCTCCAACTCCTCCCCACTCAGCCTTCACCATGCCTGGGTAATTTTTAATTTTTTTGTAGAGACTGGGTCTGGCTATATTGTGCAGGCTGGTCTCAAGCTCCTGGCCTCGAGAAATTAGTCTGCCTCTGCCTCCCAAAATGCTGGACTTACAGGTGTGAGCCACCACGTCTGGCCCAGAACTCTTTTTCCTTTTTCTTTCTTTTTTTTTTTTTTTTTTTTGAGACAGAGTCTTGCTCTGTCACCCAGGCTTTCTTTTTCTTTTTCTTTTCTTTTTTGAGACAGAGTCTCTCGCTTTGTTGCGATCTCAGCTCACTGCAACCTCTGCCTTTCAGGTTCAGGCAATTCTCCTGCCTCAGCCTCCTGAGTAGCTGGGACTACAGGCACACATCACCATACCCGGCTAATTTTTGTATTTTTTAGTATAGATGGAGTTTGCCATGTTGGTCAGGCTGGTTTCGAACTCATGACCTCAGGTGATCCACCTACCTCAGCCTCCCAAAGTGCTGAGATTACAGACATGAACCACCACGCCTGGACCAGAACTCTTAGCTAATTAGCCTTTTATTGGTTCTTTGTCAGGCCGCACTCTTCTTGTTTCTTTCCAGTCTCTGCTCCTTCTGGG